TGTTAAGACTGAGACAAGACTGAGTGAAAATGATGTTAAGACTGAGACAAGACAGTCAAAATCAAGTCAAGAGGCTTTTATTGTCATTCCATCTACGTACAAGTACACAGTGGAGCAAAATTACGTTCCTCCAGGAACAAGGTGCAACATGGAACAAAATAGACAGTACAAAGTACAAATGTACAGACGTAAGTGTGCAAAACATTAAACTAGAAAAAATACAGTAAATACGATAATCAAAACAGACATTAGACACAAACAGTAAACAGACAGGACAGTGGAGCACTGACACAACACTGATTTCTGAGCATGAGGTAGTGAGAATGAATTAATGAGAATAAAATGATATTGAAACAGTCAAGACAGGACAGTCTTGCCAGACTTTTGACTGTCTTGTCTCAACAGTTGAGACAAGACAGTCAAAATGATGCTGAGACTGAGACAGAAGAGTCAAAATGGTGTTGAGACTGAGGCAAGACTGAGTCAAAATGTTGTTGAGACTGAGACAAGACTTAATCAAAATGATGTTGAGACTGAGACAAGACAGTCAAAATGATGTTGAGACTGAGACAAGACTGAGTCAAAATAATGTTGAGACTGAGACAAGACTGAGTCAAAATCATGTTGAGACTGAGACAAGACAGTCAAAATAATGTTGAGACTGAGACAAGACAGTCAAAATGATGCTGAGACTGAGACAAGACTGAGTCAGAATGATGTTGAGATTGAGACAAGACTGGGTCAAAATGATGTTCAGACCGAGACCACTACAAAACCAAGACCTGATTTGAGTACTACAACTCTAGTTTGATGTGAAATGGATAATTCTAGAGAAACCTAGCAACTCTAAGTTCTTTACAGTGGTGGTACCAGGGGTCATGATGTCTACAACACAAATACAGACATTTACTTATGACCAGAGAACTTACATGTGTGTTCTGAGTTATATATGTAAAGCTGATTATGGTAAAATAGAGGTAAACGATAAAAAATCAAGTTTACTTTAGGGACTATTTTGCTATGCATGTATCTCTCCACCAAGAATGGATTTAATAGATTTAAAATATGTTTCAGGCCAAAACCTTTTTGCAGAATTATTGTAAAACAACGTCTTAAATGGCACATTCATAACCATTTCATGTTATAACTTTCTGTGAGTTAGTTTTTAGAGTAGTGATGTACGAGGTTATTGGTCATATCGGTATCAGCAGGTAATGGCTTAAAAAAATTAGCATTGAACAGATGTTTGTATTTGATAGATATTTCAAACTGATATTTGATGCTGTATTTACTTTGTACTCTGGAACTATTTAGGTGAGGCTGGGTTACTGCGCTAAAACCTGTATTTTGTTTATATTACTGCATTTGTAATCGTCTATATATAAGTGTTCAATTTCTCTGTGATGCTAATGCAGCTGGATACAGTCCCACTTTCTACATTGTATGCATTCTTGTCTATCAGCATCAGTATCATGTAGATATGTGCATGAAAAATACCGGATGTTGGCACTGGCATACAGTTTCCATATTGCTGCATCCCTGTTTTAGTGACATTAAACAATTTGGATGTCGGTTTCCTACCACCACCATTGTACAAAATTCTGTTTCAAAGAGTTTCTAGAATTGGGCATTTCACATCAAACTACTCTGAATGACCTTGCTTACACCTTAACCATTTATCTATGAAGAACATTTGAAAAATCTCTGCCTTTTTCTTCCACAGCACATGTACCAGAGACAGTCATTTCCCTGTACTGCATTGAAGAATTTTTAAAAAATTCTAAATTTCTGTATAATTCAACTGTTGAGATGTAAACCAAGTCATTCAGAGTGGTTTAATGTGAAATCGTTTCTTCTTGAGAAACTTACTGATTTGGAAGTTTTCACAGTGGTGGTGATTGGAACCAGGAGTCGAAATGTCTACAATACAAATATAGGGATTTTATTTACTATCCAAAATGACCAGTGTCCCTACAAGTGTCTTCTCAGTGTTTATATGTACCGTTGATAATGTTGACAAAATAGTTAGGAAAAAATAGGCCTCACAATGCCCTGAATTTAAAAAGTTACTTTTAGGCCAAAACCAGATCTCAGAACTACTGTGAATCAATGTCTCGGGCATCAGGCAGCATTTCGTAACTATTTCATGTAATAACATTCTGCGAGGGAGCAGTAAGAGGCATTAAACTCCTTAGATGTTTAGTTCCTATCACCACCACTATGAACAATTCTGACTTGGTATGTTTCTATAGAACTGAGCATTTCATATCAAAACAATTAGAATGACTTTGTTTACATCTTAGCAATTTGTGTAGTTAAATCACTACTACATGCATCAGTGATAAAGCACAACCCATAATACAGTGAGTAACATTATCATTCTAAACAGTTAGAATGTTATTAACCTTATAGCTTCATAAATATGAAAAAGGGAGTTGTGGGGGGGGGCACTGAGCTGTGTTTCTGCCAAGCGTGCTCTAATAAGATGTGGATGGGTAATCAGGAAATGAGAGTGTGGGTGGGTGGATCCCACATCACTTTGGGCCATGTGGCCCCTTGCATGGTGCCATATGATGACCGGTGCTGGTGGCTAGCTGTAGAACTAATCCTGTTACGCCAAACACACCCACAACTTAGCTTTGAAGCATATCTTTTCTTTTTTTCTCTACCTCCCCCATCTCACATCCTCTTGGTACACTGAATGGCTGGGTCATGTTTTTTGTGCTGTTAAATAGGTGGACAGGTAAACATTTGAAAATGAAGCTTATATATATTATTATCCAACGATAGTGGAAATGTGTGCAGTATTGATTCTACAGTCTTGGCACATTATCTTGTGTGAAGTCCCAAAGGCTTTCAACAAAGTAAGAAAAATTCATCCGCACCATTTCCCACTACATTGACTCTACAGTGTCTCACAATTATAAGCAGTAATTCGCTGTTGTTGGAAGAAAACCTTGTCCATCTCCAAAATGGTAACTTTACAGGAGGAGGAAAAAACCTACTTTACTTTTAATGCATTTCAATGGAACCAGACTTTTTTCCAAGTCATTTTAGGTCATTTCTTTTAGTCCATTCGTCATGAAATTTACACACAATATAAAGGGTAACAGGTATTTTCAAATTGTCAAAAACTGAAAAATGTCAAAAATGGAGATACAAGGTTTTCTTCTGACAACAGCCAAGTATAATCAAACATTGACTATTTGATTTCCATAGATTTAGTAATATTCTGACATGAAAAACGTGGTCTTCAATGCCTGTCTGTCCTCTAGGTGGTCTAAAGCAAGAAAGGCTACAAAAATATCAGGTTATAAAGGCCCAAGGTCAACAGAATAATTAGATGCAAGCAGCAGTAGTACTTCAGCCTCATAGGTAGTGAGAGTTTGGGACAATATACAGATTGTTATGCATAGTGCTAATCACTGTTGTATAAACCGCCAGAAACCCGAATCTTCATTTTTTTGTTGATTTTTATTTTACTACATCATTTTAACATGGTGGCTGTCATTTACATTGGTTAAAAATTTCATGATGAATGCACCAATAGAAATGTTCCAAAATTACTTGTATTAAAAGCTGATAACGTTTTTGTACTCTCCTATAAAATTATAACATTGGAGGCGCATGTTTTTCTTTAGACAGTGACAATATTAATGAAAAGCAATGTTACTGATGGTAAGCCAGGAGTTAAAATAGTCTTAATCCAATTTCATAACATTCAAAACACAAAACCAGCAATCGGCCAATTTATTGTTTTTATTTTGGCAGATCTGTGTTGATGAAAATAACGCAAGGCAAGTGCACTTGTGCTGTATATGAATGCTGCTGCTACACCTGTACCAAAAAGGTGTAGCATTATTCTGCATGACCTATTGTGCTAAATAGCCAGTCACCTCCTATTTTTGATTTTGCATTTTTGTCCCAGTTTGTCCCATAAACAAGCAAATAACGTTGTTTTTATTGCAAGTTTTAACTAAAAGGAAAATGTGTTTCATGTGTTCATTTACCCCATATAGTTATATGTTCTGCAGCTGTATCATGTGCACTAATCACATGTACTTTTCAATCAGTCGTACTGATCAATTAATTGAGATATGTTCTTTTGTTTATTTCATTATACCTTTAATGATGCAATGTATTCATAACTCCATATCCTATTGTATTAGGATATTTATTGTTGCATTTCAAAGAATTAACACTTTTAAAGGAAATCTTTAAGAAATGATTTGAGAACTTATTCGGTCTGGAAAAATCAGATAACAATTCATGCAAGAGTTCCTTAGGGATGCTTCTTAATGTGGGTAGGAGGACATCTTTACCCAACAGTGATTTTCCCAGTAAAATACGTTGACATACCTCTACAGAGAACCAACATCTACACATTTAATACTCAATTGCAATTCATTGCTGAATTTAACATAAAAAATAAAATGTGTAATGTACAAAGCGTAATGTTTTTTTTTTTTTCCAATATGTTAAATTCAGTAAATCAATTGAGCTCTGAAATTAGCAAAAGCCATATTTAAGTGTTTACTGTAGAAGAATTGTTAATTTATTTTCATTTAAAAATCAACAATAGTATTTAATTTGATTGGGCATGTCCAAACTTCTGCATAGAAGTGCATGGTTTACCTTTACAGTTAATGAGGACTGATTTTAAGGGGAGCTTCCTCCTCATCTACCCCTACCACTCAGTATCTAGCAGTCAATCTGGAAACATCTGAGGAAAATGAAGTGCTTTAGCTGAATGTAGACAAAACACATTCTTAAAGGTCTTCTTCCCTTAACACTTCACAAAGACCTGCTTTTGAATTTCCTTATATTGTGAGAAATTGTCAGTTGTTTTTGAGATCCCATGTTTCTTATCTCTAGATAATGTTTTCTGAAGTATGAAAACCCTGCAGTAACACCATTTGCAAAACCATGTTGATGTCATGTGTACAGAAAAACAGAAACTTTTCTTTCTCTTCTCATGTGTCATAAATAACATACTGGCATTCAAAAGGAATAAAAATACCCTTTTTTAATCGAACTTTAATTAATTTACAGACAACTCACAATTTGAAAAGTTATACATATCAGGCACAAATAATTTATCACAGATGCATCTCAAAGTTTTCTTTTAATCTTCAAAATACTGCTCTCTTGCACTACTTCGAGTTCATGCTGTCTCAGTGTCGAGAGCACACTCTGCTGGAAACTGATTAGAAATGCAGCCATGAACGTCTTCACAGATAGGTTTTTGATTTATAATGACTGTCCACTTGAGGAAACTTGGAATTCTTTCTGCTGTTCCACATATGTATCTAATATGTAAGATAAGAAAAGAATGTTTGCTTTTCTACTTAACACTCACGTATAAAGGAGCCAGCTTTGCTTTCTGAGTTCTGTGGTTCCTTCTGATCCTCTAGAACTATACTTTCTGGCAAATTGTACTTTACATTCACAACACAGGTGCTAGGATTTGTTTATAATAACTTTTGCTTTACTAAACTGGCATTTTTCAAATCACTCTTATGTTTATTTGCTGAATATGATCCAAATGTGCTTTCAATGTCATGCAGAATTAAAAAGTTTAGACCGCACAGACAAAAGAAAAGGTCAGATCCATGTTGAATTTGTCAAATATGAACACGAACACTAAGAGCAGGATGCATGAAAGCTGTTAAAGTTATTTGCGTGCCACTTGCCCTCATTTCCCAGTGAGCTTCAGGACGTCTCGGACCATGGCGCCAATCCCGTCAAATATGTGGTGTAGCTTCGTATCGCACATGAACGCAGGAGAGGTTACTACCTTGTTCTTCGGATCAACGTGGGCTTCGTGAGGGTCAAAAGTTAAGGATCAAATCGGACAAGTGATAAAATATCTCAACAAACTGCAGCTACATTTCAGATATGAAAAAAAATTCTAGAACTACTGAAAAGAGAAACGTAAAAGTATTAGAAAATGAATCAACAACGCTTCATGAGCGCTGAGCAGGATATGGTGACCTCCTTTATCTTATGTTGGGCACCGAGGGCACTGATGGCCTGAGCGGTGCCAGCGTACGGCCATTTCCCCCCCTGCTCCTCCTCATGCCCCACTGTCACCTCCACACCAGGCAGCACCTTCGCCGCCAGCACTGGAGCAATGCAGCACAATCTGGCAACCACAACAAATGAACATCAATCCGTCAGAAACGTTATAGAAGGAAGTTTTACTGTTTTACGATTTACTGGTTAAACTCTCATTGCATACTGATATCCTTAATAGTGGCTGTAGATTACTTGTGTACTGTCCAATATGGAATAGAAATTTCCAAAACGACGACTTCACAATACAAGGAAAAACTTTATTTTGAAGGAAAGTTAATGTAACAATATTTTCCCCAAGTAATTTTGGAGCACTTCTGTGGGTCCCTTCATTATGAAAATTTAACACAATGCAAAAGGAAACTGTCTTCAAATTATGTAAAAAATGAAAAACAACCAAAATGGAGACAAGGTTTTTGTGCAACAGCAACAATATATTATATATAGTTGTATGCAAAAGTTTGAATGCCCCTGGTCAAATTGTAGTTTGTTAATGTTATCACATCCTCTGCGGTGAACAAACTTAAATATGGCATTTTTCTGCCAATTTCAGGGCACAACTCTTATTTATTTGCTGAATTAAACATATGGGGAAAAAAATGAAACAATACATTAAATGTGCCATGATTTTCGGACATGCAAAATTTTATGCTTTTGTTTTCCCAATACGTTAAATTCAGCAAATAAACTAATTGTATATTAACATGTGCACAACTTCTGTTCTGTGTATTTCTTTTTATCTTTTTTCCATATTTTATTTACTGCATTTAATTTTATGCTGACATTCCCACTAAGACAAATTCCTTGTACATCTAATACTGGGCAAACAAAGATTCTGATTCAAATATGAATGAGATCAATCTGAAGGTGGCAATTTAACTACATCAATTTGAGAATATTAGTATCAATAATAATAATAATAATAATAATAATAATAACAACAAAAAAGAAGAAAAAAAAAAGAAAAAAAGAAGAAGAGTTTTTTTTTGGTCAAAATAAAAGTAAAAAGCCAGAACAGGCTTAGTATACTGTTTTTATTATGCATAGTTTTCTATTGTTTAAATAGTTTCTTATGTCACATTTAGGCATTCAGTGCATTTTAAAAAATCAACTTACAATTGTAACAAAATTATTATTGTGGTAAAGTTTCATGATGCACTGAATCGTTTCCTAAAGAAACTGATTCACTAATTTACAAGGACACAATCACACAACAGCGCACACACATCAGAAAGAAAAGAATTACAGAAAGACAAAGGTTGTTTAGACCAAAATACTGTAATTGTCTGTTAGAACAATATTTATGCAGTCCTCTCCATAAGGACAAAATTTATTTCAATGTGATAAATTCTGAACCTGAATATTCACTGTTATGGAAGTAATGCAAGTCTGGCAACCAAAGAGCCTTGAAAACCATCTGTGTTTAACCCCCTAACACACAGCGAACTTACCCAATAGGCTTCCCTGCTTTATGAAAGTCCTTTAGGATGCGCTCCACCTCCTTATTCACACTACAGTCTTTTCCATCAACAGCAAAAGTTGACCTGATATACAAAGACATAGTCATGGAAAAAATAGTTTGGGAACACATAAAGGGGAGTTTCTGGAGGAAAAAATGAGCAAAGATGTACTGTCAATGTTCTCCAACAAACCTAAACAATCGACTGATGCATCATACCTGTGTGCAATTGCTGAGAGTCTCTAGAATGTTCTCATCCACTCCAGAATGTTCTAGAGCGTTTTCCTGTACTCACAGTTCTAGAATACTCTAGTTCTACCACGTTCTCCTGTAGTTAGATTGTTCTAGAATGCTCTCCTCCTTTTACACTGTTCTAGATTGTGGTCCTGCACTCATGCTGTTCCAGAGCGTTCTTCTCACAGTTCTAGAACGGTCTCCTCTAGGAACACAACTCTAGAGTGTTCTCCCTCATTCATACTGTTCTGGAATACTGTTCTCCATTCACATTGCTCTAGAAGCTTCTCCCTTGTTCATACTGTTCTATAATGCTCTCCTCCATTTATACTGTTCTAGAATTCTCTCCCTCATTCACACTGTTCTCCTCCACTCTGTTCTAGAATGTTTTTCTTCATTCTCACTGGTTCATTTGAGTTGTCAGTTTCGACTCTAGAGCAGTATAAAGACAACTGCCAACACCAGAATGCTGGAGTTAGTTGGGGAACACTGGGTCACTGTGAAATGACCTTAAGAAGGACGATGCAATATATTTACCGTATTTGAAAGACTAGTGGAGAATTTAGCTTGTCATTACTTTATACTCAAACAGTAAGAGACAGTGGCAGTCCTTACAGATTTTTGGCTGCTCCAAAGCCTCCAGGGAAAATGACTGCATCATGGTTACTGGCATTCAGATTAGCCAGGTCAGTGACGTTGCCTCTGGCAATGCGAGCCGACTCAGCTAACACGTTTCTGGACCACACACATACAAACACACACATACATACACACACTGATCAGCCATAATATTAAAATCACCATCTTGTTTCTACACTCACTGGCCATTTTATCAGCTTCATGTACCATATAGGTGCACTTTGTAGTTCTACAATTACAGACTGTGGTCCATCTTTTTCTCTACATACTTTGTTAGCCCACTTTTACCCTGTTCTTCAATGGTCAGGACCACCACAGAGCAGGTATTATTTGGGTGTTGGGTCATTCTCTGCACTACAGTGACACTGATGTGATGGTGGCATGTGTTGTGCTGGTATGAGTGGATCAGACACAGCAGTGCTGCTGGAGTTTTTAAGCACCTCAGTGTCAGTGCTGGACTGAGAATAGTCCACCAACAAAAAATATCCAGCCAACAGCATCCCGTGACCACTGATGAAGGACTAGAGGATGACCAACACAAACTGTGCAGCAGCAGATGAGCTACTGTCTCTGACTTCACATCTACAAGGTGGACCAACAAGGAAGGTGTGTCTGATAGAATGGAAGGTGAATGGACAGTTTTTAAAAACCAGCACACCATCACACCAGTGCAACACTAACACACCACCACCACATCAGTGTAACTGCAGTGCTGAGAATGATCCAACACCCAAATAATACCTGCTCTGGTGGTGGTCCTGTGGGGGTCCTGACCATTGAAGAACAGGGTGAAAGGGGGCTAACAGAGTATGCAGAGAAACAAATGGACTACAGTCTGTAATTATAAAGTACAAAGCGCATCTATATGGTAAGTGGAGCTGGTAAAATGGACAATGAGTGTAGGTTGCTTTAATGTTATGAACGAACGGTGTATAAGATAGTTAAAGAAAAGAAAACACTGACTTGTGATGTAAACTCTCAGTGCTATTGAATTACCTTGATTCCTTTTCTGCAGGCTGCCCTTTGCCATGATCTATCACATGCATCTGAGTCACATCAGGAGCAAACATCTGCACCTCTGCACCTTCCCGACTCAGGTGCACCAGGATTCTACATACACACAAAATACAAAGAAATGCACAGATTTCAGCTTCAAAAACTCATGTATTATTGCTTTATCATCATATCTCCAAACTAGTAACTTAGCAGAGGAAATAAAAGTTTTTAACTTTAATGCCACAAACCATTTTGGACCATTTCTATTGGTCCATTCTTTATGAAACACTCACACAATGTAAAGGCCAGCTGGTATTTTCAAGTAGTATTTAAAAAAGGTTTAAATTAACTTTATTTAAATTAAGTTTTAAAATGACAGTGATGTAACTTCAAGGCAAAAGAATGTGGATGAATCCATGCAATATACAAGTACAGAGAGAGAAACTCACGCTGATGCCTCATGGATCTCTGTGCCATCATACACTCCACATCCAGACAGGACCTGTTCACAAAGACAAACTTAAAGTCCATACATTGAGGGTGTATGTGATACAGTATGATGGCTGGACACTTTGCCTAAAGAAGACTGTCTATGGAAACTCTGCTAGAAACGGAAACAAACAGAATCTAAAGCATCAGTAAACCTGCCTCCTTTAAACACTTTGACATGAATACACCAGTGATACACTGAAAAAGAAGACGTCTTGTTTCTTTAGATAATAGCAGCTACGAGGGGTGGGCAATGTGATATTTATTATTATTGTTAACAAAGATTCACGTTTCATGGATATCGTCAGTACTTAAAGAACACCAACTATATGTTTGTTACATGTTATTACATAAGAAAACATAATTATGCCAGTTAAACTGGATTTACTGCAGTGCAGTGTGTATAAAGTTGCATAAAAATAATTTTACATTGTAATTTTTGACAGTATGTGGCACTACTGGTTCTTTTTTGTCTGTTCCAACATATCAAACCTCAGAAAAAAAAATATTGTGATGCAGACTGCATATATGAAAATGTCTCAATTTAGCTATATTTTAATTTCTGCAAACGTTCTGACTTTGTAAGTAGAACATTGTTTCACTGAACAATTTACTCCAGTCACATGCACGAAATAATCCGATAACTGCAGAAAAACAGATTTGTCTGTAATCCGATCAATTTATATGCTCTTGAGTATTGATTGAGTTCTTGATAATGGAAAAACTCCAGGTCTACGTGAGTCAGGCAGTAATCAGATTTCTGCTTTGCAACCGACCAATAAACTCACAGAAGAAGACGTGATGTAAACATAATAAAAAACTCAAACTTCATGCTGCAGCTTGTTTTTAAAACATTGACCCACTTTACATGAAAATATGAATTACATTATCTAGAAGATTAATAATACTTAAATCCTTCATTTCATCAAGCATGTAGTTTCAGCGGCAACGCCGCTTACCTTTTTCCAGTACCGCAGTCTGTTTTCGCACATGCGCAGACTGATCCGAAAGAAATCCGAGTAAGAGTTTACATGCACTGAGGAACCTGATTACTGAGCTAAAATCCAGCTCTATTCATCAGATTTCTTAATCGGATTTATAGACCTTGCTCCGATCTAAGAAATCGGAGTATGCTGTTTACATGACCATTTGAATAATTAGACAACTGCAGAAATCCGATTATGATCGGATTATTGAGTGCATGTAAACGCACTCATTGAGAGGACTTTTTAAAGGTCGAAAATCAAAGGAAAAACAGGTAATGTACAGAAACACACATCAGTGTAAAAGAGATATTCTGGCCAAAATGTGAAATTATTCCATTAACAAAGGCAAAAAAAATCAGAGACCAACTGAGGTTAGTGTTATATCACTAATGCTAACTGGCACCACAGATGTACTCATAATCCTCTTGTTCAGCGGCTACCAGTCACGATTTGTTGAGCTGTAGGGATTCCTAACGGCAGAGCCGTATAGAGAGAGAGTTGCGTCAACTCCGTTAACTCCAATGGACCGTTTTTTTACAGCAATGGCGGATCATGGAGCCTCTCAATAGTTCCCGGAAGTTAGCAGCAAATACTAGCAGCGCGGCCGAGTTGCAGCAGAATAGAGCGGTTGTGATGCACTTTTAAAGGGTAAAACATTTAAAGAATCAGTTTGTATATAATAAGCACATCTGAATCAAATTAACATGTATATTAAAGTATGTCAGTGGATTCTCCCCGATTAAATTAGTAGATTTAAGAAACATTAACAGATAACAGATTAGGCTAGGGTACTGAGTAAAGTTAGGAACCCATAATGTTAACCATAAACAGCCTAGTAATTGTAAAATCCCTGCTCTTAATGTCATTTCATCCACCGAAAAGGCTTCTAAACATGATTTTTCACGGGGTGGGTGGGAGTTAAATATTAGTTAAATATAATATTGGGGCAGAGCTTGTAGAGTGGAGGTGGAGGAGATAAATGAGAATATCGTTATCCATTTTGGAGTACAAGCTAATGTAGCTAGGTTACACAATAAAAAGAAAGCTATATTCGTGATACGTCACTATTGATGTGGATTTAGAGCGCATATTGGAGACTTTAAAGAGTAAACAAATATAAGACTTATGGATTGAGTGTTTGCAGGCTTTGTGAGTCTGTTGACTGTTGTCTGTACATTATGTTGCAGTTTAGTTGATTTTGGATTAATGGCAAGAACCACGGGGGGATTCAACTCAGCCTAGAGACACCCTACAATAAGACAGCACCCCCACCCTGCACCCTGAGTCTCAACTCCCTGGGTCTTGCAATTCTTTACCTGTTCCTTATTTTTAATAAATAAAACATTAAGCTTCCCAGTGATGTGGCTTTTGTTTGTGAAACGTATGCAATGTCACTTTGACTGATCTTAACTACCATACAAGTTTAAGAACATAATATCTATAATACTGAAAAGTCAAAGCAATGAAACAACACACTTTGAAACCATGTTCACATTAACATGTCAAAAAGGCAGCTAACGACAGCTGTTTAATCCTCAAATAGTAGCGAATTTGACTTTAAAATATATCATTGTTGTAACTACACACACACGCGCATTGGTTTTCTATATAAATATTGTAAATCAGTGAATGTATTGACTTTAAAGTACCGAAAGACGCAGTTCTGCCGCTGAGTGTTTATGGGTTTAAATTGCCCGCAAAGAACTTCCTAGAACTATCCGAGGTCTACATGAATCACGTGATCATCAAGCATTTTGAACTTCCGTTGACGCTACTCTCTCTCTATACGGCTCTGCCTAACGGTTGTGAGGTGTTCGCGTAATGCATGCTGGGTATTGTAGTGAAAGAACACTTACAGACGAAAAAGTGAAAATGATACAAAATCGCGAATTCTGTGAGGCTGAGTGGTGCAATGCTGCACTAATACCTGCTAGTTAAAGCTGGAGTGCCCTTTTAATTTTCTTCTTTAGTGTGTGTTTGTTTCCAGTGATTTTAATAGTCTTTTCTGTCTGACCTGTGTGTGGCTTGGCTGTATGCTTGCTGCAGAAGCCCAGGCTCAAAACTGAACAGACCAACAAACAGTGTCTGACCTTTCTGTGTGGCATTAGGCTCCGGGTGTTATGCAAGGCCCGACCTAAAAATGTCTGATGCATTTGACATAACGACTAAGAAACAGGGCGGGAGCCAAACTGCATATAAAATGGAAGTGCATGCTTTTTCAAAGCACAAACCGCAGAGTTGCGTGTTTACTCACCACAGCGACTTTGGCGCTGCTATAGCTGTTGGCGCTTGTGTGGATCAGACTGGCGATCTGAGACTTCACCAAAAAGGGACATTGCTTAGAAATCAACGATCGCACCGCTAACATCGTATAAGAGCGAGGCGCTGCGAGGAAACTTCAGACAGTCAAATGCAGCGTTTGGGCGTTTAAGAAGGTCAAACGTGCGACCGCTGGATTTTTGGAAGCGATAAACTCACGGCAACTCGGAAGAACAATGTAATCTAACTACGTTCAAGTTCTGGATTGCGTCAAAACTCTTCCTCTACTTCAGCGCTGTAGCGGCAACACTTCAGCGTGAATGATGTCTGTTTCAAAAATAGACGTTTATTAACGTAAAACACAGAACAAAAACGAAACAAGTTATCTTTTTTAAGTGTATTGAAAAACCGATGGTCACAGTGTAGGAAAATTACGGTAAAGTCTTCCTCTGCGTGCTTACATATCCGTAAATTAGTACTAGAGCGCCACTCGGTGGTACAGGGGAGAAGTGCACTTAATAATGATGTGGTTTAGTTCAGCGTGACCTTAGTGAGCCCCTCTGATCATGTGTCTTCATGAGATCACCTCGTAACATTTTACATTGTTACTATTCATACGCTACAATTTAAAAGTTTGTATTCACTTTCATATTATTTTTGCTATAATATATTCAATAAAAACGTTAATGTACATTTAAATATTATAACTAGATACAAACAGGGATTTTTAAATGTTAAATTCAATATTTCAAGTATTGAGGGACAATAAAAGTTATTAACAAAGTTATTATTATATTTTATAAAAATCTGGCAAATCTGACAGAACGTACTTATTACATAAATATTACTCACAGAAATACCCTGAAAGTAATATTTTGCCTCAAAATGCCTCTCTGCCATAAATGTTCTTTAAAAATATACCTTATTTCAAACCTATCATAAAATAATGTCTTAGGCATCAGGCAGCGTATCTGTAACCATTTCATGTGGTAACTTTCTGTGAGGAAGCTCCTAGAGGCATTAAACTCTTCAGACGTCTGGTTCCTATCACCACCACTATGAACAATTCTGACTTAACAAGTTTTTCTAGAACAGAGCGTTTCACATCAAACCACCCTGAATCACTGTGTTAATCTTTACACATTAATTGTACTTTTAGACAATTGGTGGAATTCACTTTTAATCTGAGTCTGGGAAACTGGGCCCTACATTTCTTTCTAAAAAAAGACGCATTCATATAGTCCATATTCAAATTAACACAAAAGGACCAGTCCTCCAACCTAGTACAATTTGAGAATCTTCCTTTGAGATTCTTCCTTTCAAAAGAATTAAGTTGCTAAAGTGGCAGAAATTTGTGAATGCAAACAACATTAACAAAAAAAGAGGCTTCTTTTCAGTTTTCTTTGCAAACTAGCCCAAAAATGGAACTGAGAAACTGTCCATCACAGCAGGACAGCAACCACACAAACACTAATACACACATGATAATATCCACACAAAAAAAGTTTAATGCAAGACATCTTAAGCATATAACATGAAACCATGGACATAACAAAAGTCAAAATTATTTCAACACAGAAACGTTTTGGCATAATAAACTCTATAATGCTGTATAGGTTTAAATAGCAGAACTAGAATGTGTACATCAAATTTACGTCACAGCAAACTCAAACATCTTCTAACATCTGTAACATTAATATGTCGCTAATCCTTAGCAAAACTGGTTTGAAGTTAACAAAATAAGAATAACAGGAATGATTTTTGTAAATACAGTGCAAGAACAGAAATGCTTAAAAGTGCATTAATATTTGCAGATACAGCAAATGAGATCCAGTCTCCAGTTTCTCCAGAAGCAGTTATGAGGCAGAGTGCACAAACTTGGACAGCACCAGCCGTGCTTTTTTCAGGCGCTCCAAGCGGTCCTTCAAGAGTTTCCTGCGGCGGGCCACGTCAGAATCCTCTCGGATGAGTTTCTCTGCATTCTTTCCTCCAATCATGGTCATCATGGCCGTCTGGATCTGAGAAATGTACTGGTGTAGCATGTGATACTGAATTATCAGAGGCACCTGGTTAGCCAGACGCTCAGAGGTGATCTGCGGGAACACCAAAAAGTAATTTAAAAACCTTGTATAATATAGTTATGGCTGTAAAATCTGATTGTCTCAGCCATTTCATTCTCAAAGCCATAAGGTACACATATGACCACACACATCAGTTGAAATCTGTACTGATGCATTATTGTTTTTTAAATTGATTAACATTATTAGTTATTAACAAATATACTGTGTATGTAGTCTTTGGTTTTACGTATCTGTTATATTGCTTGGCAGTTATAGGCTACTTATAAGCCTACACTTACTTTCCACTTAGGTACACCTACCTTGTATGTACTCTCATTGTCCACTTAATTTGGTCCATTTACCATATATGTGCACTTTGTAGTTCTACGGTTACAGATTGTAGTCCATCTGTTGCTCTGCATGTTTTGGTAGTACCTCTTAACCCCATTCATCAGTGGTCAGACCCCCCCAGGACCACAATGAGAGTGGATACAAAGTAGAAAATTGTTTTTTGGTATTGTTATTAACAATAAATAATAAAACACTTCAAATATCATGCTGTATTTGGTCAGCTTTTTAAAAAGCAACATGACTGCGTGTTAGAGTGATTTGAACACAGTTAAGGGGCAGAGACTTCTGTGCCAAAGCAAGACTTTCTCACAAGCACAAGAAATGTCAGGTCTTTTATGAAAATGTTAAGAAATGTTGACTTTGCTATAGAAACTTGCACTTCATGCATGGGGCTGGGTATCAAAATTCAGTATTAGTATTAACTAAACTATTTTAATACTACTGAGTCAATACTACTGATTCAATACCAAAGCAGTCAGTTGGAATCAATGACCTAACACAGGGGTCAGCAAATGTTAAAATGTTAAAATGTTAAAAAGAGCTATTTTGTCCTTTTAACAAAAATCAAGCCACCTTGCGAGCCACAACATTTTATGTCCATCTTACCATCTTGGCTGTCAATATGTGCTAATGTCCTAAAAATAGGCTAAAAACAATAGAAACAAAAACACAGACTTACTGTGCTCTGCTTTAAGCTTCTCTGGCTGGAAACTTTTCCTCAAAAGTATAATAGTTTCTTGTAAAATGTCTCTTAAAGTTCACTTTTTATGAACATGAAGTCAGCTTCTCATTCTCCAGCTTCTTGTTCGAATTCTTCCGTTCCACCTTCAATGATGCCTGAGGCGCTACAATGTCACCGCTGCGCCTTTTAAGGTGGAACGGGAAGATTCGAATAGGAAGCTGGCAAACGAGACGCTGACTACATGTTCACGACTTTTTAGTGTTTGACAGTTCCGCGTTGAAGATTAAAAGTATCAGGAAACCAGCTGAGTGTTTATAAACACAAATAAGTCCATTCCTCTCTAAATTCTCGATGTTCATCTTCTGTGCTGTTTCGTTAGCTACTAGCTAGGCGAGATTTTTGTCTGTGTTGCTATGGTGACCAGCAGTCTGCGTACCAACTTTCAGTGTTGAAGGGTGAAATAGCAGTTATACATTAACTGCAGTGTTTAAGAGCACTTATTGTTAAAACTGTGTTATAATGATCAGCAGAGCTTTATTTTACTGCAGAGGAGAATTATTTTATTTTTAAATAAATTTTTTTTTTTTTTTGTAGAGCCGCAACAGGGCAGTAAAAGAGCTGCATGCAGCTCCAAGCCATGTGTTGCCAACCCCTGAGTTAATAGGAATAAGTTTCAAAATCTAGACTGCTGATTGGCTGTCTAAATGACATTCCCCATGCATGTTATTAAAGTCAGTGCTTCTTGATTAGTCCACACTCTGCTGTGTTTAGTAAATATATCCACTTCCAGCATCTTACACTCATTTCTGGTTTAAACCACACCCATGTCCAGTTTGTAACTTAAAAGAAGGTATTATTTCATTTAATAATATAATTTTAAAAATTCAGGAAAAGGTATCAATATCAGGGGACCCTTGTTACTGAAAAAGTCTAATCAACCCAGCCCTAGTCATGCAGACCATGCTTTATGTACATATATAGGCATTCAGACTGATCACTGTAACAACAGCATACCGTGAAGTAGGCGTTCAGGTGCTGAGCCATCTCCCGGACGTCAGCATTGATAGGCCTGTTTAGAAATCTGGCAGGTTCTGGCTTCTTTTTGACACACTCTAGTTTCCAGCTGTAGATACCATCCTGAGAATACACAATCTTCTCCATCTTAAACTGAGCTTTCACTCTCTCTTTGGCTTTTTCATACTCCTGCTCACGTAGATCCTCAATGGGCTCTTTAGCTGCTTTCAGCAGGTTGGGAAAGGCCTCAAAATGATCGCTCGCGATGTCCTTCAAGCAGGTGTGGACAATATCTTTTTGAAATGAAAGAAAATAACATGGCCAGTTAAGAACATACAGCTGCTAGCAACTAAGCTGTTTGTACATTTAAATGAGTAAATAAAGGATTGGACAAAATACTTTCAAAAGGTAGTGATGGCTGAATACTGAATGCACTGTCCTAATTTATTTACTATTCTATTACTAATACAGAAAAAAATACATATTCAGAATACATTTACAATACAATACAGAATACAATTACAATCTTGGTAAGGCACATGAGAGCCATTTTACTTAATTTACACAGTTCCTTGCTGTTGTTGGTTTCCTTATGTAATTGTTCTGTTAATATGTTTCAATAAAATATTCTTATAATTTTAAAAGAAGCTATGAAAATTCTCTACTTTTTTTTTCTTTTTCATCACCTGCTTTAGTTCACTGCTGCTCCCACAATCCCCCGAGCAAGAGTCCGGTACAACACTAAAGCAAAACTTATCACTCACAAACGTCCACCGCTGAGAAAATTATTTGTTTTATCGTCTCTCAACAGAGCTCAGTAATGCTCATATTAATAGCTGATCATCACTTTGATTTATCAGTCTACTCTGATTGTAAAGAAGCCATTAACTCCTCTTTAAAATTCAACTAACAATGCCTTCACTGATACTAAAATAGTTAATAAACAAGCATTGATGGTGTTTCTTTTAAAGATGGTATATATATATATATATATATATACATATATATATTAGTGGGTAAGTATTCTAAAAGTATTCTCCTAAAAATGTAAAAAGTAAGTGTATTCTGAGTACTGCCTTTATAAAATGTTACTTGAACTGAATACAGGTACTTTTCTGTATTCTGACTACATATTCCCAATACTTATATTCTGTTACATCCCCACCCTGAGTACATATTAGGTGACAACTAACACAATGTCGTAAATTTGTTGGTATTCACCAGTGATATCTGTCAGTAATTGTGTGGCAGGTTCCTCCAGCTCCTCTACATGTTTCTTGACAATGTTCTCGAATGTTCTGTAATTGACAAATCCAGGAAGCTCCTT